ATGATATCATACTTTAGTACTTCTAAAATAAGTTAAAGATACCATATGACTTTGTCCCTTTCTTCGTTTGTTTTCTTTCAAAAGGAATTTATAAATGACACATTTGACATTTTAAAATGCGATTTTCTCGGAAACTGTCAAAGATAGGTATAGGACATAATACATATTTTAGTGTTAGTTTCTTCAGCAGAATTGAAAACAAAAATAATATACAGGGTGTTCCATATGAAATAACAAAGTTTAGGGCATTTCCGGTCAAACAGGAAGTGACGGTCAGTTGTTTTTATGATTAAATTTTGCATCAAATTCAATGATACGCATGCCCAAAATTTGAGATCGATATCTTTTTTCGTGACTAAGCTAGAGCCTGGGTAGTAATCTCGTGGTCACCCGGTATACATATTATGTATTATTTTATGCTTTTCACATTTTTTATTTTTCTTACTTCCAAAAAAAGCTCCAAAATTGTTATACAAAACACGACACGCAACAGGTTCTTCTCTATCGGCAAACAAACTGACAATGGGCGGACAGGCGCGAACGACTGCCAATTACACGCGTACGCGCGAAGCGTCATCGTTCAGATTTGGCCGTTCGGATTAGCGTGTAATCGGATTAACGTGTGTTCGGATTAAAGAGGTTGCACTGTATAGCAAATAGTGTAATTCTAATAGAAAAAGTTGGACTGATATTTAAGGAGGTTTATCTGATTTGGAATTCACAAACAAATATTCATAAAAAAATTAATAATGAAAATTTTTTTGGTCTTTCCACTTAGAATTCACAACAATTGACAGTTTCCACAACAACTTGTATAAATAGGAAACCGATATCTAAGGAACCATATCACAACTCCTAGAAATGGATTAGGTCTCGACGTAGCGTATTATTTAAAATTCGCATGTGTATATGATGTATATTTCAAGCTTAGGCATCCAAACAGAATGATCGAGAGAACGAACGCAAGAGCTGAGCGTGCCAGCCAAGTGCAACGTAGCCAAATCTAAAGGATTACTACATTAGTCAATAGCGAATATACAGAAACTCTCATTTGACTTTAGACGTACCCGATAAACCTCCTTAATAATGTTCATAAAAGTTTCCTGCATAAAATTATTAAGATTTATACATTTTGTCACAGAAATGAAAAAGTCATTAAAATAATAAAATATTTACCTTTGATTGTTCTTGGTAAGTGATCCTCCTTGGCGACTCTTGTAATTGAACGGTTCTTATATGCAATTTTTGAATTTCGTCAATTGTTCCTATTGTCACTGAAGTGTCTGTCGCCAAAGCTAAGCTATAAATATAAAATATTCAGTACAGATACATACATACACGATATCGCAATTTACCTGTCAGGATAAGCCTCTGCATTCAAGGAGCACATGTGGTTTACTTCCTTCATATTAACATTGGAGAACACCAACTTGTGGTTCGACGAATATATTACCGTTGGCCTGTCGGAACAGGCAAATACATTTGTGGTGCTCAATGATCGGAAGGTCCTCAAAACTGTCGGTTGGGTGCCTAATGTTACTTTTTTCTTATCAGTCAGCGTTCCCGAGTCTTTATGTAAGGAAAAGTAAAACATCGAACCGTCACCTAAAGCGCAAAGCAAATAATCGTGACCCTCAAAACACGCCATGAGAACCGAACGAGGAATTATTTCTGGAAGTAAATAACATGTTTGAAATTGTTGTTTCATTAACAAACGCACTTACCTCCACCAAGCAATTCTTTGGTAGCTTCTGATAAGTCAGGCAAACGTAATATTCGTGCTGATATATCTGTCCAGAGTCCAACAGCTACCAATTCTGATGTTGCTGTGCCATCCCCGAGGGGACTAATATCCAAACAGGCAACCTCAACATCAAGTGTAGTGTTTCTATAAAAAAAATATGCAAATAATAATTATTAAATCAAAGAATTAGGATATGTTACCCTTTCAAAATCAATTCATTGGGATGAATTTCTAAGTAATACAAAGCTGAGCCGGTGGAAAGAATAACTTGAGAAGTATTACAAGCCACGACACTAATATTTTTCTCAGTAGGCGGTTTCCATTCGGCTAATAAGGTCTTATTTTGTGCGGAAACAAGCCTGGCAGAAATGGGCGTTATTTGTATAATTTGTTCATGTACAACATTGCCACAATAAAATGTTTGTTGATCTGAGGCAAAACCGGCTATGTCGGTTTCTTCTACTTCTTCACCATTTAAACTTAAGACACGGGTCTGGCCAACGAATGAAAGCACCAAGGTATTGTCCAATTTACTACCTAAAAAGATTTTTTTTTTTAATTATACTATAACAAAGTGAACCACCTTTTGCATGTTTGTACTTAAAAATGGATTACCATTAATTACAAAATATCATTGCTAGAAATTGTACAACAGTTTTGATTGTGTTCAACAAAAAAATATTATTATTATATTAAAACCATTATAACAGCACCTAAACTGACTAAACTATAATTGCATGTAAAAGATGTGCATGTAAGAAATAATTTTATATGTAAATCGTTTATTACTCTTAATTTTCGTTTGCACTTTTGTACAACTACTGAAAAACAGAATAACACGCTTAAATGTATAAAATTAAGCTAACGTTACATAATAAGGGCACAAGAAATGGTACCCTGAGCAAGTGAATAATTTGAAAAGGAGTAAATTTTTCACTGCTCTGTGGGTCTATGAATGGAGCAGGATTTTAAAATTTCTTAAGGAAATTGTTGCTTTGCACCTTATCATGTCTATTTTGCACATGGTTACTACTTTTTTTCAAATAAAATTGAAAACTACTCAACTAATACACATAATACAACAGTAATTAAATATCAACAAACACCGTCATGTTAGAACATGGATGTAGATTAGGAATGTGAGCAAAAAAAAATTATTATGCCCTTACTGATTTATACTAAACCATGTTACTTCACAAAATTTGTCACACACAATATTGTGTGAAAATATACTGAAAAAAACACAAAAAAGTTAGCATTACAGTAGCATTTCAAGAATTTACAACATGCTGACCAATGTCGAACAGTCTTTTAAAAACCAAATTCATTTGTGTTATTAATCAAAAAGGAGGACACTTCGAGCAATTGATGTAAATCAGTGGTCGAAGTATTCTTCTCCTTGTTGTGTTCCGAGTTTCAGTTTGTTTCGTTTTGCATTTTGTTTTAGTTGTTAGTAATTTACTTTTGTTTATCAAACCACTTTTTAAACATGCCAGTAATTATTGACACCGTCAGTATCAAGCCTGATAAAATGTGAGGGAAAAGTGGTTTTGCAAGGCCTCCTTGACGATGTTACAAAGCTACTTTTTCGGACTATAGAAGGAACCTGATTTTCTGGAAAACTGTTAGAGATAAATATGGACAAACTTATATCAGTCGAAAGGGCATTCAATTTTGCAATGGATCATTCCATTTAAAAAAAAAAAGTTTTTCAAAACGTAAAATTATTAAATGTAGGTCTCAGAATTTCCCAGTTTGAAGAGTTTGAATAATGTACACATTTTGCTCACAGATGACAAGATAGAGTAATTTATGCCAAAACGAACGGTGAAAACTGTAAGTTTCTAACTCTTACGGTTTAGATGCTATCTAGCTTCATTTAGAGAGCTGAAATCAAGATTTTTTTTTCAAAAACAACTGAGGCTGTGTTCAGTGAATGGACGGACTGGTTAAAGTCGTTCAGTGGACAAATATTTCGTCGGCCAAACCAATCAGCTGATTGGGAATATTGGGCAGGTTTTAATACAGTTACTAAAGGCCCTTCAGCAAATTGTTCGACTAAAGAAGTTTGACCGAACTAGTCCGAACCATTCGCTGAACACAGTCTGAATGTCTTGAAAACCATAAGATTGAAACACCATTTATATTTAATAAACTCTACCTAATATTAACGAAGCAATTCAAAAATGCAATAATATACAGGGTGTTTCATTTAAAATAGCAAAGTTATGTAGTGCCCACTCTAAAATGTAAAGCTAAAAATATCTGATTCCAGACAATTTTTATTAAAACCATTTTTTTATAAATTTTACAGTTACAAAATTACAGAAGAATCCCTCTTAGATGGAACACCTTGTGTATTTTAATATTCTGAAAATAACTTCGAAAATTTCAAGGCACGCCCCTGCAGCGGTAAATTGTTACAGTGGTTCCGATAACAGATAACTTTATTGGCCTATTCTTTATTTGGAATTCTATCTTAACAAATATTGTACACTGTATTTAATAAAATCATGAGGTACCCATAAACTAATTCAAATAAAACTACTGCTTACATTCGCAGTACCTATGTACAACATTTTGCTCGCATATGGGCATAGTATATGAGATCTAATGATGGAAATATCCATCGTTTGATCTTAGCCACAATACTTTTTACTTTGAATGCATTATTTACATGTAAAGTTCAATTGGCGGGAAAACGCATTACACGCTACTTTTATTAAATTCTTACTTTCTATTCAAGCAGTATGGCTTTTAAAAATTATAGATTACATATTATTAGATATTTGTTAAAAATTGGAGAAAATCCCTTGGTAAGTACCGTAAGCTTATCCAAAGATCACACTTTACAAAAATTACCTTGTACTCGCCCTGGAAAAGTTAGCCAAAGATGTAGATTATACTACAATAATGAAAACTGAAAAGCGAACAGAGTCGGCGCACTTTTGCAATACGAGCCCAGAGAAACCACCTTTATGTATTGTATCAGGTTTTTATGAACACCATAAGAAATATTGGCTAGTGTTTCTTACATTACCTTTGTTTCCATTGTTTCTGGGTACCTGTGTTTTTAGAAATTGCCTTTTAAATAGTTTGTTATGGTGTTTTCTCAATAAAAAATTTCCCCCTATGAAAAATCTATCCATAGAAAACTCCTGTGTACATCTAAACTACTGTCAATCAATTTATCCGTCAACAGCACTGAATATGAGTTAGTACTATCTGGTGCGCATAACAAATATATACATGACCAAATAACTAAAACTTACTCAATACTTATTATCCCTAGCCCTTACGAGTTGATTTAGGCCAAGATTTAAGCGAATATAATTACTCACTTCCGAGAACTAATAACTCATTGTACATTAGCATTGAATGTGTAAAGGCGGGTATCCATTTGTGTCAAATGTCCCGTAACGTAACACCGAACATGTTATGTTACAGCTAGTGGAGACGGAAAATTGTTACATGGTACGTGTAACAAATTTGACACGCATAACTAATCCGGGACGAACCATCAGTTGTTGGTTTTTAGTCGCCGCATCAAAGGGGTTCAACAGTACTTTCTGCCATATGTTGGGATGGGGTTATCCTTTTGGCCGTAACGTTGCCTATTGCACATGTGATTTTGTCTTAATTTTTGTTTCGTCAGTCTTTTGTATATGATCTAGGGTCAGTCTGTTTTCTGCAGTGACTAGGAAGAGTGTATTTTTCTGTGTTTATGCCATGTTCCTGTGTTGTCTCGTGACCTTATTTTGTTACGTTACGGAATGAATGATACGAACAAAACCACACATACTTTCGAAGCGAACCGTGTTACCTTTTGCAACAGGCCGTAACATGTACGTTGTTACGTTACGGAGCACTGCCACAAGTGGATATCTGCCTTTAAACCTGTGTTAATATTTTTTCAGCCCAATTAGAGAGTATTAATTTAAATGAAATATATCCTAAATATACTTATGGGTGCTCTGTTCAAAGCTGAATTATTTGAAATTCACAGGAAACAACATTCACCTGATTATATTTTCTGTACAGAATGATTAATATCTACAATAGTTATATACCTACTTATGTTGTTATATTTACCTGTGGCAGTTTGAAGTGCCCACATCCCCTTTATTCCTGGTAAGTCAATAGATGCATGTTCTTGTATTCCGATACCACTTCGAATTATTCTTAAAGATCCCTCTTTAAATGCCCCTGAACAAGTCACTAGCTGACCTTGTCCCTGTCTTTCTAAATCCACTACGCACATATCCAGAATGGGAGCAAGATTAGTAAATGATTCCATAACTGTGACATAGGAACCGTTTTCATCGGCTTTAGTATTGAGTTTAACGAGTTGTGAATCGCCTATTCTAGATCCGATGAATAGAACACCATTGTCCAAATATGTTATACATTCTGGCGTAGCAATTTCACCTAAAAATAACAATTATAACTTCAATATCAATGAGGTAAAAATTAATATGAGAAATACCCAGCATTTCGACTTTTAAATCTTTAACGACCTCATTTCCATCTCCTCGAGTTTCAGTTTCAATAAAAAGCATAAATAAATGGCCGGCCATGTCTCCTAATAAATAACGCAAACCGCCAGGATCTACTTTTGCATAACAAATAATTGTACTTTGCTAAAAACAATACAGGTTAAACTTTCATAATTATTAGATGTTATAGCATAATGTACAAACCTTTATAACAGCTGGTGCAACCACAACAGACGTAATTCCATCATGATACAAGATGCTCTCTTGTCCAATTATAATAGCACCTCCCAGAGGAGAAGGAACAGGAATTATAATAGAGGCTTCAGTTTCCACGTTATCTTGTCTCCACGGAATCTTAACAAATTCCTTTTCTCTAAGCGATATTTCATGTGTTTTCACATGACGGCCATTAACATCCTGATGTATTAAAATAAGTGTAGGATTTGCACAACCATGTAAAAATTCAACATCATGAACTTGAAGCTCATCCATTCTAAAATAATTTATATACATATAATTGACTTGTTAATTTATAAATAAATGTTTTACTACCTAAAATTAGAAGCTTTCAATTCGTAATTATCCTTATCAAGAGGTATGATTTTGAATAGACCGTCATATAGTCTTAAACCAATAACTCTAGCTTTTGGATCAATAACTGCTAAAATTCCTGTTTCTGAAGGTTTCCCAATTCTATCTGCTACATTTCCATGAGCTTTCGTAATAATATCAAGATTATCTCCATCACTTATACATTCCAGGATCATGGCATTGTACCTCATAGTAACAATGAATAATAAATCTTTCTTCTCATGCTACAATGCAGAAAATTTATTTTTGAGTAATATAGAACAGAACAATTCTGCAACTAAACTACATGTACTTAATGATATTATGGGAAATAATTATTCTGCTGGCTACGACTCCATATAGCATTGAATTAAACCCACAATATCTAGTTAACAGCAAGAACTCAAACAACACTAATGAGAATAGGATCGTACTTGTGGTCGAAAGAGTTTCATAACAGCAACTTTGCCATAGAGTCCAACTTCTTTAATAGGTCTCAGCCCTTCTGGAGTTACCAAATATATCTCTAGACGAGTATTTTTTGCCACAATTAAATTAAGGTCTGATGGTGAAGTAAAATTACCTAGAAAGAGGTTAAAATAGTTTTGTCAGATCTCAAATTCCTAATCTCTCTAAGAATATCAATACCTGTTACACAAGCAGTAACAGCAGTGGGCTTATGTGCCGTAACAACATAATGATAAGCCATAATTCCAAGCTTTTTTAATGAATCATAAAAAAAAATACTTTTTAAACGCTTAAAAATACCATGTTTCACAAATTGAAGTTTTAGAATCAGCTCTTCTTCTTCTACTGAATTTTTATTTTGTCTTGTCGCTCCGCTAATAGAATAAAAGTGCGTTCATAAATATTTCCCGGCCGCTCTAGACACGTCGTTCAGAAACTACAAAGTGTAACTTTGCCCCTATTTTTACCCTCGTTAATGAAGTTCGGTGTTTACTTTAGAGTAAAGGATAATTCTCATTGCACAAAAATTGGAACGTATAAAGAATTTCTTTACTACGACTAAAAGGCCGGTGTCCCATGCATCCGAAATCCGATGTCCGATATCCGAAAATATTTTAATTCATACGAATGATATATAATTCACATGCATCCGAAATTAATCTCATAGAAATCAAGTATAGAACCATGGAATTTATTACAAGATGAAGGTGAAACATTTTCAAATGACAACCATAGGTATATATTATAGAAAATATACGTAGTATTATATTTTCTACATTTGACATTATAAAACATTTATTTGACTAAATATATCAGACAACAATCATAGTATTCATAGTATGTTAAAAACTTAAAAAGTGAGGTTAAAAAACATACGATTTCGGATAAAAGTTCCTCAGTTCCTAGCGGGCAGCCGACCAGAGCACACGTGTTTTGTGAAAGTGTAGTGCAAGGAGCAATTTCTACCTGCCTTTATTAAGGCTACCTGGAAAGAATCCCTTTCTTTCCTTTTAATCACCGACCTAATCCCCGGCTTAAGCATAGACGCCGTCGGCATCTTTGTTACAGCACCTGTGCCGGGGTTATGCCCAGGTAAGTTTTTACTTATTTATCAGTTATTTGCATTACTTTAGAATACATTTCTTTAAAATTGCGACCCCCGACAAACAATATACCAGACAGACAAATACACCAAAAGACACGTACGCCCCCGTGAGGGGGCATCCCCACACGACTAACACTTACACACCTTCCC